TATCACCAAATTTAACAGCATTGCTGGAGTTCTGGAGGCTTTTCATCAATTTCTTTGTTGAGATCTTTAAATATTGATGATAATTAAGAGGAACTGTGCATATAGGCATACCATACCTGATATATTCCTGATATATTTCACTAGATTTTATCTCTTCTAGTCTCTACAGCAGTGACTTAATGCTAGAGGAACTTTCAAGCAACACAAGGTTTTATAACGGTATTCATGCTACTAGCTTATATTAATTTGTTGTCATATTTATTTCAAAAACTGTAAATAGATCAAGAAAGAAAAATAGAATAGAAAATAGGATTGATGTATATAGATCAAAAATATTGTTACATAAACTTATAAAACCCACCTATACAAGTGTTTCACAGGAGTAAAGTTATAATATTGAGAAGATATTTATCTTTTGGAAATTCAGGCCTGTTTATTTTTTCTTTAACGTGCACTAAATGAATTAAGTTGTCTTAAAAATCACAGAATCACGGAATGGTTGAGGTTGGAAGGGACCTCCGGAGATCATCTAGTCCAACCTCCCTGCTCAAGCAGGGTCACCTAGAGCATATTGCCCAGGATCACATCCAGACGGGTTTTGAATATCTCCAGGGAAGGAGACTCCACTGCCTCTCGGGGCAACCTGTGCTAGTGCTCTGTCACCCTCACAGTAAAGAAGTCAAGAATAAACTGGTGCAAACACCTCATCTGGCTCATCCAGAAAAATGTAAACCTTATTTGAATTGATTTAATTCATGTCTGTTTTCCTGGGATTGCATTGTATCATATAAATACCTGAGCTTTTTAAATTAATCGGCAGGTACTCAGAAGTAGCCCACGTGCAATAACACAAAATTTGGGGCGGGCTAAGTTGCCTTTGCCTTGACTGGTAGGTGTCCAGTTTTCCTATAGAGAGGAACTTGGGTGTCTAAACTGGGGCTGTGAAATTCACTCCCAGAATCAGATGTTCTAGGCAGTGATTCTAGTCATCACTGTAAAATCTAAGTATGGGTTTGGACCTACCGTAAGTTATTACAATTTGTCAGTATGCTCCAACATTGGAAAAGTGCAATTACACTTCTTCATTTGTGAATGCTGGAAAAACAATTGATCCCGTATTTCTGCCTGGAGAAAATAGGTTTTTCATATTATACTAAAAGATATCTTTGTAAAAAGCCTGAAGTTATTTCTTAACGCACGAGAAATATATTTGAACAAATGCTAAAAAGAAACATGTCCATAGGTTAATACCACCAACAGCAAAGGCAAAATCAAATGGTGCCACAGTAGCTCTTTAGAAAGCCAGGCAGCAGTGCTTAGACATATAACTGGTATCATTTCTCTGCAAAATGACCCACAAACACTTGGCAGAGAGAAGAACAAGCTCTTAAAGATAATGCTCTTTTCATAAGCTCTACAATAAATAAGAGTTGTATCTTTAATTGAGCAAAGCAGGTATTTTCTTGGATTTGTCATTGAATGGATTATTCAAATCTGTAGCTTTTAAGGATTAACATTCTCTTTTGCTTTCTCATTCACATCAGAAATGGTAATTGACAACGTTTTAGCCAAGAACAGTGTATTAAAGTGTAGTCTGGTAAGTCCAGTTTACGATTACGCATTACATTTATCCTAGTGGAAGATTTGCTGATGCCTTGTTTTCTCAGATCTCATTTTTACACAAGTGCAGCCAACCTAATCTGTTTTTGAACTGGCTCAGGAAAAAATCATTTCTCATTTGAGCTGTACTCCTGAAAATGATAGATTTGGGATCACAAGACCAGTACTATTACTGGTCATTTCTTAAAAGTGTTTGAAGAACCTCATCTCAACAGTGATAAACAGGTCACAAACCTACCATATAAACTTTAAATGATCACAAAGTGATTTACAGTTCTGGCATTCTGAGGTTGACTGAATGTTATATTAAATATAGTTGTTTGCACAGTTTATGCATCTGGGATTTGACAAAACTGTTTGGGTAAAATAAAAGACTGTCCCACACTTTGGCACAAAACTTGGCCCAAGCTAAACATTTTTGAAGGTCAGAAAACTTAGAATAACTTAGAATATACTTGTTACATTCAGGCATGCCTTTGTATTTCTAGTGGGAAACAGCACTTCTAGCAGGGAAAACAATGACCATGAGAAAAGCCCACTATTTGAAATGAATTGACCAGAAACTCCAGACAACTGGAATGGTTCCAGTACAAGATAATCCATCTTCTCTTCTCTGTGCTTTTTTCCCTTCTCAAGCCTCTTGACTTCCTTGAAAATGCTGGTGAGCTTCCACTTTATAGTGAACCGCTTCTTTGTTCCCATTAGTGAGGAGGCACTGCTCATTCTTCTCTTTCCAGATACAAACTGCAGCGATGGTCACCTTTTGTAAGTGCTTTGTCACATTGACAAAGTGTTTTAAAAATACAAAAAAGTGGAACAAAATCTCATCTATCCACTCTTTTGAGTCAGAAGGAGAGAAATTCAGAAAAAAAGGCACTTTATCTGCCCATTGGTTTACATCAGGTGTAGGGTTTTTAGGGCTTTTAACTATATATTCAGAATCTGCAGATAAGTGGTTAATTGTCCAAACCTTTATATGATTCTAATTCTGCATTAGGAAGTCCAAAAATATTTTAAGACTGTACTCCTGACTGTAAAATATTTATTTGACATAATTATGGTATAATTATAGTCTAAGAATAAACTCAAATTTAATATACATCTTTAAAAACAACTATTTAAAGATCCCCAATGAAAGATTACTCTCTTCTTAAATCTTATCTTCTCTGCATATAAAGAAGACCTTTTAGATCCATCAGGTCCCAGTTGCTCAGTCCAGTCTTGCAGATGAAATTCAATGTATGCTCTCCAGTCAGAAAAAAATACCAAAAAATAGTGATAAGAGAAATCTCATTACAGACCTAACTGCAGGGCAGTAGGCTTATAAGGTGCTCACTGCTTGGCAAAGGATCTGCTTTCACCACTTCATCAATTATGGATATTGCTTTGTAGTTTTGTAAACAGTCCTGAAACTGAATTTCTGCTGAGCATTTAAAACAGGCAAGGCAATGTAGCTACAGGTTGGCAAACTCCTTTCACTTCATCCAAAATGCATCAGGCTTCTGAAAATCTGCTTGAGGATGTACCCTGGCAAAATTGCTAATGGATCCAGGCTCTCAGGTGCTCTCAGGGAAGTTGGTAAAATGGGCTTAAGTGCCTGTACTTTCTCCTTCTCTGAGTGGGCAGCTGACATAATTTTGCTCACATTAATTTTCAAGCAAAGAAGAAACTTTTCAAGTCTTTCTTTTCTCTTTACGGAGCATTCCTGAACACAGAGATTTATTTTTGCCTTGAATCTTCTTTTCCAGTTATTCAAAACAAATGAATAATTAGATGAAGTTAGTCTATCTGGAGTTACTTAATCTTTCATAATATCTATTAATCAGTATGCGTAGTGCATCTCTTCCGCTTGGGCAGCAGAGAGGCAGGCAGTTCTCTGAACAGCTCCATCTGCTGACTCTGCAGAGATAAGCTAAAGGAGATGCTTTCAAGGTAGAGTAATTTCCCTGCCTAGCTGAGAAAACAGCTGAATTGTAATGTACCATGAAGAATTAGATGTCAGTTCAGAAAGGGAGAAGTTACAGCAAAGTAAATATATTTTATCCTCCCTATCAATTTTCAAACTAATAGTCAAGTGAGCATTACTACTATATCTATTAAGATTTATGGAAAAATGTCCACAAGAATGGTATGTAAGTATAACTGAAACACTGCCCTCCAAAGGAGAAGGCAGGGGGAGAAGACCATATCATAAAACCGTAAATAAGACTGTAGTCATTAGGTAAGCAGAGCCATCCTCAAAGTTCTTAACATGTTAGAGAGTGGGTATTGTTAGAAAGTAACAGTTTAAATTATCACTGACACTTTGAACCACCAGCTAGTGAGTACTGTCCTGAGGAGTGTTTCTACCACTGGTGCAAATTCATTCAAATGAGATATTTTAGATAAAAAGGGGAGGGGGTGTTGCCAAAGCTGAAGAGGAGGCAGACTCAAATTAGTGGAATGAAAGCCTCTCACAGCGTTTGAAGAGAAGTTAATTTTTTGGGGGGGAGGGGGGGTGTATTGCTGTCCTATGTCAGAGGTGGTTACCTGATCAGTTCTTTAGATATGCCAGAAGTACGATAGTCTTCCAAGAAATAGGTCTGTAGTGATTTCCAGCACTGTCGTATTTGGAAGTGCCCATTTGTGGGAAGGAAGTGAAAGATCGTGTCTTTCTGTTCACTTTCATACCTGTGATTTGCTACGCTGCAGTACATCTGTGCACAATGACCAAACTGGTAATATACGATAATGCTTTATTTAAGAAAATGCATGTTGAGCTCAAGTTAAACTTGATGATTTGAGCGTGTTACGTGTCACAAGTTCTCTTGAAAGTGCTGTTTGTTTGACCTTCACCTAGATTTTGAGCAAAGACATTATTTGTATATTATGAAATAGCTGTTCACCTCTGAGACTGTAACTGTGTGAAACAGCCCTCTCAAAGAAGTGGTGGGAGACATAGTGATCATTTAAGCTTTCCTGGACAAAGAAATATTCTATGAGTAGCATATTTCCCTCCTACACATTTAGGGAGGTAGGAAAATATGATTGCCTCTCATTTTTAGAAACCTACCCAGACAAAACTTTTGGAAGTAAAACTTTGATTTTTATACTTTTCTATTGCAACTGTCACAAAGTGTTGCGTTATTGATGGTAAAATAAGCTGATCCTGTTATGCAGTTTGTAATCTCAGTACACGTTGGTGATTAGGCAGCCACACAAAGACAAGGTCATTTAATATTCTATGAAATGTTCTGGAAAAATCATGTTATTGAGGTAAAAATTGAGGCAAAGGACCATGCAGTGAAAATTAGTGAAGGTCTTGCTTTGTATTATACCTTTAGAAAATATTTTGAAGCGATGTTTTTCAAATGTCTTCTATTTGATTTTTTTTTAATTAGGAGACAACAACGGATGGTCTCTACAATTTGATAAACATTATGCAAAAGACAGATACAATGAAATGAAATCTCCATATGCATTTCAGACCAAGACACCTGAGTGCTGTGAGTAATTACAAGAATTATTTGTGAGATTATTACTGATTCCTGAAAGGAAAAACATCCCAAATATGCTTATCAGAAATAGAAATACAGTGCAGTTTCATTTGTAGTAAAATAGAATGAATGTCTCAGACTAACAAATGCACTGAAGCTCTTTTCAGTTCTGCTAAAAGTAACTCATTTTCTGTAAAGAAAATGTCAAGATGTGCCAATTAGAAGGGCAATATAAATGTTTATCTGGATATACTAATATAAGAGAAAACATCATGAAACATTCATCTCTCAGAGTGAAATGAAAACAACCTCCCTTCAAATTATCTTCTTAGCACATCAAATGAGTCTTAAAAAAAAAAAAAGAGAGAGTTTTGTGGACATTTATACAGATTTTCTGACTCTGTCCACTATAATACTAAGTGAAAGCACAGAGTCTGGGGAAGAGGGAGCAAAGAATTCCTGACCTATTGTCGTCCTGTTTTGACCTGGCAGAATTGAGCTCACTCTAGGACTGAATAATCAAAAGGACAGTCACAGAAATCTGAAAAAAAATTACTAAACCAGATTCCTGTATCAAGTCTAAAGCTATATTGCAAAATCTCTTTTAGAGATGTCAGGAAGTATTAGATTTTTTTGTTCTTATTATCCCTTTATTGTTAGGATCTTCCTAAGTCTAAAGCAATTATGTAAAAACAGTGCAAGACTTCATTTAAATTATTTCGTTTAAAAGAGTCTCGTTGTCTTTGTGCTAACTATTCTTTTATGTCATATTTCTTTTCTCTCCATCTCATCATACTCCCCATCCTACCTTTTGCTGTAACCACTTTCCTGTCTTCACACAGTGGCTGATTCTGTGCCAGCAGAATGTATGTGCCAAGGGCTAGAGATTGTCTGTGATGGTGCCAAATTACGTGCTGTCCCTTCCGTCTCTTCAAACATAACCATGATGTAAGTAGAGCAGAAAAGCGGTTGCTTGGTCTGTGCAGGGTTGAATATCGGTTCTCCAACTATTTTGCAACTGCAGCCTCATAATTATAACCAGTTGGCTCAGCTGGTGGTTCTGAAAGCCTGATGTCTCTCTCCATTAACAGACCTTCAGTGTTTTAAGTACAGATTTTCCCTGCATAACGTGAACGAAAAGGAGCTAAAACAACTCTATGTGAAATAGTCATTTAGTACTGGTGATAATGGCTTGGACTAGCCACGATTTCACAAAATTTAAAGAAATGTTAAAGTGAAGTGTTTCTTTGAAAGACATAATGCTCAGGACCTCTTTCGGGACCTATGAAGGGTGAGAGACTGGTTTTTGTGTGGTGAATAGAGGGCAGCATCAAATATCCTCACTTGAGGATTTTTCTTGTAAAGCAAGGGTACAGATTTTTCTATTCCTTTCGAGTTTGTGTTCATATGTGACTGAAGTTCTTCTTGTCGGGCTCATGTTCAGGTACCACAGTACTTCAAAGTGAAGATTTATGTTCAGATCTGATTCAGAACATCAAATATGTATTAAATTTGGCTTTTGGTGCAGGATCAACAGAGACTTCAAAAATAATAGCTCAGTTCTACCTTCAGAAAAAGCAATGAATCTGTTAAGACGACTTTTGGCTAGGTTCTGTTCTAACTCAATTATGTCCTAAGTGATTTTTGTTCTTGTCAGGACAGTTGAGTTGGTGCCTGATGGACATGGGGGCATAGGAACACATGCACTGAGAAGTAAGCTCCGTGTGCATTTATGCTTTGAAAAAAGTCTATGTTTTAGTTTATACTCAAATCTTTTTAACTCTTAGCTTTAACTATTATTTTGTCAATTGTTATGAGGACATTGAAGAACAGTCTTTGGTAATAAATACTGGGCTTACTGCTTAAATAAATACAAATATGGACAGAGGTGGAAAATTCGGTTTCATTTTTCTTTTGTTATTTAGCACTGGGAAAACTGCTCTTACTGAATAATAAAAATGGCAACACTGTGGGAACCCAGGGGCATAGAGGTGGAGGCAGCACCTGGCTCGCTGAGCCCAGGCTGTTGCAATCGTAGGCAGCCATGCAACAGCAGAGGACGAAACACCTACTGCCTCCACCAAGCCCAGGGACTGCCGAATGACGGTCAACAGAGCTGCAAAAGCATTCTCAGCTCTAATTTGTTGTTATATTCAAACTAACCGTATTTCATAGTCAAACCACAGCAGCAGCACCTTTCTTTTCCCTGGGGGAAGAGGTAGCAGGGGAAGGTAACTGGCAGGAGGTGAGGCTGTGCTGTCTCACAACTGTAGCTGTGTCTCGCAGCCTGCAGTGCAGGCACCGCCACAAGCAGTGCTCGCAGCACCAGGGACGGGGTCCTCCGAATGCCTCCCAGGAAAGTGCTGATAAATCTTCATCTAGTGTTATCTTCCACTAGCTGTATACTATAGGAACAGCTCCCTCCATTTGCAGGCAATAGACTTCATTTTTCTCATATCAGTTAACTACCGCCCTCCTGGCTGACTGATTCATGGTGAGTTTTTGAAGGAAGTCTCTTGCCTCAGAAGCAAAGTGTGATTTTTTTCCCCCCCTGCCCCACCACCACCCTGAGCAGGAAAACTGTTATCTTTCCCCATTGATTTAGAAACTATTAATTCGTTGGTATGCCACATGGCACGTTTTTGATCAACTGCACAGTTCTCTTTCCCGGGTCTAAAGGTGATACTCTTGGTCTCACTTCACTAAAATTAGTTTGTGATTTTTAATCATCTGGATAGGGAGGATTGAGAGGGTACCACCTGCATGTAAAGAAGAAAGTGGGAACAACAGTTGCTTGTAAAAATGCAGCAATAGGTAAGATGTGTCTTTTCACAGTCTCCTCCTAATCCATTAACCCAAATTCAGCTCTAGTGTGATCTCTTTATTTTTATTGATCAATGCAGTCAACTTTGATTTGATTTACCTTATTGCAGAGATGGAGTTTGACAGCAAACAGCATAGCTACTCTCGCCTTTGGGTAATAAACCGTACATAGACACTCCTGAATATATAAATTAACCTTTCTGGAAACATTCAATTTATTATAGAAATTTCTACCAAATTATTTACTGTGCAAATGTATGTTGGGAAGTGAAGTCGTTAGATTTACACCAAACAGGATAAACTCAGCCTCAGTATACAGACAGAGTAGTTTTACTGTATGTATTTGTTCCTACAGGTCTCTTCAGTGGAATCTGCTAAGGAAACTTTCTGCCGATGTTTTCAAGAAATACCAAGACCTTCAAAATCTGTAAGGGAGTCTTTCAACTTAAAATCTCTATTAAGTCCCTTAAATATAATCTACCTCTTCCTCTCACTCTCTCTTGCACACGCATACCCTGAGCTTAACATG